ATGTTTCATCACGTGCTTTCCTTATCATCCTACGATTTGTCAAATGGGAGATACAGCAATTGGAATAATTGGTACTGAAATTGACACTTTTTGACTAGGATTGGCTAAAAGTTTTACAACTGAGGTTTAACACGCCCAGATGCAGTTTTATAAAGAAAACAGACTAAAAAAGTTTTAGATACCAATCATTGATGGCAGAACCAGTGCTGAGGTGAAAGGAAATATCTTAAAAAATTTAAAAAAAAAAACATTTCTTCTTAGAGGGCGCTTATTTACAGTACAAAACGTAGTCATCGGGTTAAAATACTAAGGAATAAGTAAATATTTTAAAACTGAAAAACAGTATGAATTGATATTAGGATATTTGTGACAACAGAACATGTAAAGAATGTATTACTTTGAAAACTCAGTGTTAACTTTATAAATTTAAGATATCATGAATAGCTATAATCTGACAAAATACTATTCTACCAGTTTAGAAAACATGTATAAGTAGAGTGGATGAATAGGTTATGTTAAAATGATATTGCAGCCTCACCACATCATCACAATCGATGTTGCCATATTTGGTAATGCTCTATCTGATTCCTGTGCACCTTGACAACAGCCCTACAGCAATGTTTTCATTTGCAAATATCTCTGTTATCATGTCCAAAGCACACCATCTCCCTGCAGGATTTCCATAATCCATCTATTGAATGAGGACAACTGTTTCCCAGTGCTCATTTAAACAGCCTAATAGCAGAGAAATTCATAGGTACTACATCAGGAGAACTTACCCGATATATTCTTTTATGGAATAGCATGAATACATGTTTAATTCTCCATTTGCTCAATGTCTTCAACAGTTGAACAGATATATAATGGAAGCAGCTTGTGTCACTTTTCCAGACAGATATTCTTCTTGTTTATGTTGTGTACTACTGCCTGGAATACATGGATAACTACTGACCTTTGTGTTTGTAGATTCTCATCTGTTACAAGACACCACATTTTGCTTACCATGTCTGGGATACAACTTTTTGCATGTCTTTTCTGGATGGTCTTAGTGCCCAAAGTTAGTCAATATTCTTTTTTTTTCCAATGCCTTTAAGTGCCAATTGTCAAAATCCTAAATCCCCAATCTGAACATATCTTTAGAATATGAGTATGTGAATATTTTGTTGAAAATCGTTATTACATATACTTCCCAAAAGCAATAAATATTTTGTGACATCACAGTATTTACAAAATGCCAATATCAAAATGCAGTTCTGATTGATATATGTTGTCCTACTGTCATTTTAGATATTAACTGTGGTTTTTCCATGACTTGCTATTTTGCACATTCAAAATAATTTTAATATAACATATCTATCTCTATGTGTGTGTGTATATACTAGAAAAATTAAGCAACAACAGCTTCATAATGAACTGATTCAGAAATAAAATATACCAGTATCAAAAAACGAAGTAAAAAAGAGACTTCAGAGACTGTGTGTTTAGCAGTTATAAAAAAAGGAAATTAATGTGCTAAGATCTAATTATAAAGCTCGATTTTAAAACCAAAAACATCTTTTCTGCTTTCTGAATAATTCTTGATATGCTTCTTATAATAGTATGTTTTTTTCACCATAGAAAGAGTGTGAAAAGTAGAGCTAGTTTAATATTAAATTTGGAAAACAAGATTTTGTTACTGTTAGTCTATATTCTGCAAAGCTAATTTATATAAATGTATATAAAATTATTTAAACTTTGCATAAAATACTAAAAAAATATTGTTTAGCTACATAAACACTTACTTTAAAGTTCTTCTAGACTGAAAAGTTCTGGTAGCAGCTACAACAGTCACTTTTTTGGCCGTTACCAAAACTAACTGCCATGGCTTCCACATCCTTTGTAGTGAATACAGAGTAAAAACATTAAAATTATCAAGTTCATATACTTATCATTTTTGGTCCACTAAATGATAAAATGTTAAGTTTATAATTATGAAATCATAAAATAAAATAAAAGAAACACCAAATGTTGCACATTCAAAACATTTCAGACTTTACGTTTTGCATGAATGTTTTAATTCTTTTATGTTGCATTTTGTTACAAACATTATCAACCAAATACAGCTTAGCTATTTGTAAAATACCATGTATATGTTTCAAAACACTTATAGCAATTGTTTATTATGCATTCCTTTAATACATTGTAAAACAAGACTAATTCCAAGAACCATTGGTTATTAGATATTGTCTAGCTCACTTTATTCAATATAAACAAAGTATAAACACATGTAGTCAGGGATGGAAGGATTATCTTATAAAGATAAGTTCAGTTCTCTCATTTTAGCTTTAGAAAATAAAGGTAAAAGATCTTACTGAAATGTGCAATTTATCTGGATTATCAATAAGATAAAGGTCTTTAACTTCTTTTTGCTATGTTCTAACATGGCATAAATTTAAGATTTGGAACAGACAGGCTAGTCTCCAGTAAAGACAGCTTTATTTTTCCAACATGATGATTAGCATATGGAATAAGTTGCCATGAGCAATAATGGAAGATGGTATTTTAAAAGAGGAATCAATAATTTCCTAGAAAATAACAGATGAGTTTAAGTTCTATCTTTGTTTTGTTTTTCAGGATTGGGTATGCACACTGTTGTGAAGGACCAGGTTGTTCCTTGTTGTCCATACAAGACAAATGTATACATGGCATATTATAATTCTGTCTTCTTTAAGTTTAACAGATACTCATAAACACCTAGTAACATACTCGTTACATTCAATTGCATATCAAAATTCGAGAATAAAAATAATTCGTTTAATATCTGTAATTCTAGTTTACATTTCATTATGTAACTCGTACATTTATTTTTAATACTATTATCGTGACTAATTAGTTTTTCTAAATATGAATATATCACATTTCAACTTCACATATGATGTACACACTATATGATATATCTCATGAATTCAACCTCATTAAGCAATAGTGATACTATTAGTTATAAATTATATTAACAATATTAAACATCTACCAATTTATTAACGATCAAAATTAACAAAAATAAATATTAGAACCAGAACACTAGTCTAGTACTAGTACTTAAAAAAAAAAAGAGTATAAAACATTTAAAGTTTAATTTTAAATAATGAATGATAACACATTAATAAGTAATACTGGTGATAATGCACAATTCTGTAAGTGTGGTAAAGTCAACGTTACCTAAGCCAGTATTCAAAATAACTGCAACTTATACGACTAAGTGTGTCTATTCCACAAACGTTGTATAACAATATAATAATAATATGCCTACGTGAACAAACACACGTGTAATTTACTTCGCACTTGTGTCAGTTTTGGTATAAACTACACCAATATACAAGCGCCCTCTATTTTAAATTAATAGTTAATCCCATTCACATTTAATAATATTGTTGTAACCTCGTTATTTCGTTGGCGAATTCTTTTAAATGATTTGGCGAAAGACATTTATCGCCCAATCCACGTAACGATAAAATTTGTTTATTTCCTCCTTTAATGTATCTAAGTTGTATCTAAGCAGAAGTTGTATTGAGAAAGAATAAACTAGTTTTAATTAAGAAAGGACTTGTATCTCTGAACTTCTTCGAAAGGAATTTTAATGGGAATGTTGCGTCATCGAGATCACGTGACTATTCTCACGCCCTCTAGTTTCTAGA